AGGTAGTAAAGGGTGATGTACATGGGGGGGGGGTTCTTGTCACAGAACTCAGTGGGAAGCGCAGCGCGGTAGCGGGTGTCACTAGTGCGGAGGTGGGTAATGAGGTCAGCGACTGTGGCAAAGGCGGCAAGGTCAGGGAAAAGGTACGGCAGCATGAGGCGGCTGAGGGCAGCAGTGGCAGGGGAGGAGTAGCGCGCTACAACAGCATCGTACAAAGACTTAGCAGTCTTGTACTGGCCAAAATGCGCGCGCTCAGCGGACGGCAGGTGACTACGAACAGCAAGGCGAGCAACAGCGTCACGAGTGGTCCACTGCGAGTGAACCGTACTGTCAGCAGTGGCAGTAGGTGCAGTAGAGACACCGGATGTGTGATCGAACAGGGATACCCCATCCCTAGAGTCACACTGAAGAAGAAGCTGTAGGTCGTCAACCCACACGTCAAAGTCAACTGCACGCCCCTCAGCATCAAAGGTGAGAACAGTAGGGCTAGCCATAGCGGCAGTAGCAGGAGTAGCAGCAGAGGCAGCAGTAGCAGCAGAGGCAGCAGTAGCAGCAGGAGCAGTGCAGGCAGGGCAGCGCGGCTCAGTAGGGCGGCGTGGCTCGGTAGGGCGGCGCGGCTCGGTAGAGCGGCGCGGCTCGGTGGGCGGCGCGGCTCGGCTGGGCGGCGCGGCTCGGCTGGGTGGCGCGGCTCGGCTTGGCGGCGTGGCTCAGCTCCTGGTGGCGCGGCGCAGCACGGCGGTGCGAGTGCTTACCAGGGGCGGGTGCAGGGCAGGGCCGCGACAGCAGGGGCCGTGATTGCAGGGGCCGCGATAGGAGGGGCGGCGTCGGCAGGGGCCGCGACAACAGGGGCCTCGACGGCTGGGGCCGCGACAGCAGCAGGGGCCGCGACGGCAGCAGGGGCCGCGACGGCAGCAGAGGCCGCGACGGCAGCAGGGGCCGCGACGGCAGCAGGGGCCGCAGCGGCAGCAGGGGCCGCAGCGGCAGAAGGGGCCGCAGCGGCAGTAGGGGCCGCGATGGCGGCAGGGTCCGCGACAGGCGGCGACGGTAGGGCCGCGACAGCAGCGGCTGCGATGGGCGGGGGCCGCGATAGCAGCAGGGGCCGCGTCGGCAGTAGGGGCCGCGACGGCAGTTGGTGTCGCGACGGCAGTAGGGGCCGCGACGGGCGGTAGGGGCCGCGACAGCAGTTGGGGCCGTTACGGCAGGTGGGGCCGCGACGGCAGTTGGGGCCGCGACGGCAGTAGGGGCCGCGACGGCAGTAGGGGCCGCGACGGGCGGGGACGGTAGGGCCGCGACGGGCCAGCAAAGGCAGGGCCGCGACGGGCCGTACTAGGGCAGGGCGCGAGGCGCGCTTTGGGCAGGGCGCGAGGCGCGCTTCGGCAGGGCAGAAAAAAAATCGTGTTGGGCCCTAAAAAAACGTTCCCACTTGGGAACCTGCTCAGAATACCATGTTAGAATAGTGAACGGAATGAATGAACCAGAAAGCAGGTGGGTACAAGTAGGAAACCTAAAAGTGTTGTACCCTATATGAACTACCCCACTACAGCCTAAACAGACTGAAGCATATAAGTTTGACAGAAAGCGCGCTTGATGAGGCCGGCGGGCACTGCTTTCCAAGCCCGTGAGATCCACCTCACGACCACCTCTGGGGTTGGCTTCTTCAAGTTCCCTGTACCAACAGAATCACACAATATATACCGGTAGTTAGCGCAACAAAAGGGGGGAAAATCTTCTACGGTAAGATAGGGACTCACGTGGCTACCGTACCTGCTCTGGTTAGCTGTTCTTGGCCTTCTTCTTGAAACCACTTCTGATACTGCTGGCGAACGCTCACCTTAAAGCTCTTGTTGATGGAGACGTCGAGGGGCTGTACCTCCGCCGTGCAGCCAGACGGGATGATCGCCGGCACGCAGTTGAGCTCGCGAAACTTCTCCTTAACGGCCTCAGTGAGGTGACTGTGGTACGAGTCCAGTACGACCATCGAGCTCCGCGCATGCCTCCCGAACCCAGGCTTTAGAAATGGCTTGACGCACTCCTCAAGCCATTGTATGACGCCGTTGGCGTCCATCCAGCCGTTCTCGTGACACGACACGACCACATCTGTATAACAAACAAGCTTCTGTAAGTCTCTTTAAAAACAGGACCGGTGTAAAGCAAACAAACAAGAATCATGACTCACCCGGCGGGAACACCCCTTTCGGCACGGTCTTCCGCTTTAAAAAAACCCACGGCCTCAGCTTCATCCCGTCCGCCGTGCACGCCAACATCACGGTCACGCGCTCCTTCTGGTACCCTGCGCTCCTGATGGGCACCGACCGAACACCTGTTTGATCGACGGTAGTGGTGGCGGGCATCTCCAGCCACAGCTGCGTCTGGTCGGGGTTGATAATCCACGTCGTCTCGATGCCGCGCTCCCGACGCTTGTCACGGACGAATTGCCAGAAGTTCTTGCATTGCTCCGCGACATCTGCGGTTGAGCACAGTTACGGTTAGTGAGTAACAAGTGCATAAACATGGCATAGAGAATAAAAATGATTCTTACGGGCGGCGGTTTTCTGGGCGACCTTCGTCTTCATTCGCACGCTGAGATTCCACCGCCGACGGAACCGGTCCGACCACCGTTGGCTCCCTTTCCACTTCACGAGGGGGTAGAGAATCTTCATGAACTCCCAGGACCACTCCTGCAGGCGACCGACGGACACCGCGGTTCCCTTGCGTCGCCAGTCGAGCAGTCGCTCATACACCTTAATCTCCATCGGGCGGTACAACGACGCCCTGCCGCGACCGTGCATGCGGCACCTGGCAGAGTGGGCTTCCTTGAGGAAATCAGCGGCACGCTTCCAGTTGGCGAGGCACTTGCGGTGGATGCCACTCTCGCGAGCCAGAGCGCGCACCGACACCGCCACATCCAGCTGCGCGACCCACTTCAACTTCTCGGCGGCAGTATAGGCCTGACGCTTGTGGTCGTTGGGCTTGTGCCTGGGAGAGGGGGGGCGAGAATCACGGTTCTGTGAAGAAGGGTGAGGTCGCTTTCGATTACGTGGAGGATAAGTTGGTATCGGGATTTTCTCGGGGAGGCCATCGCGTGACCAGTATTCGACGCCGTCGTCGTCGTCACCGCCCGGCGCATCCTCGGGAAACACATCCTCAGCAGTGCCGGCCTCAGTAGCGGCCTCGGTGTCGGCCTCAGTGCCACCCTCGGCGCCGGCGTCGCCCTCAGCGCGCCAACCTTCCTCGGCGTCTTGCACGTCGTCGTCAGCGCCGACTGCAGATTCATCCCACGTGAAATCTTCTGGCTGGCCCCAACGTGGTGCTGGCGCTGGAGCGGGTACGTCAACATCGGGGCCCTTGTCATAATCCGGTTCCGACAGATACTCGTCGAACGCCGATGGGAGCAGGAGCGTGAGCATGGGGTGGTTGTTGTTGTGAGGGGCCACCGGACACGGAGGAACAGGAGGAACAGGAGGAGCAGGGGGAGTCGGAGGCACTGGAGGAGCCGGAGGAGCAGGCGGCGCAGGAGGCTGTGGTGGCTCTGGAGGGTCTTGAGGTATGCGACTATACCACCCGTCAGCTGTAACACGGTACGCGGGCCTACTAGAAGGTTTTTTCTTGAAGAGAAAATGAGTGCCTGTGAATTCCGCCATGGCTTCCGCAGCCAGGCGGGCGAGAAAAAGAAGACTGAATAGAAAACAGCAACCCTGGGTGTTGAAATGGGAGATTGAAGGGGACCCCTTCTGGTTTGCGGCTCGGGGTCCTCGTCGATGAGAGACGAGTACACCCCTGTCCCAACCCGCAGAGGAGGGTTGGGGGCACCATCCATGCTGCGTTGGCACGGCAGATTCCATCACGTTCTGGATGGTTCTGCCGAGATTCTCCTGCCTGGCAGCGCATGCCAACCTGATTGGGCCGCACGGCAGGTTTTGCATCAGGGCTGGCAGGTGCGTTGCACCGGGACGGGGTTTGTGCGGTGGGAAATCGAACCGCGGCAAGTTTCGACGTCATTCCATGCACGACCCCGCGTGCATGGTACAGTGTTGTATTCGCCTTATTCACGGCTTCAGAATGATATCCTTTACAGAGAAAATCATTTTTTCCTTTATAAAAGCGCCGGCCCTTATGGCCGTTACTCAATTACAAGCGCCCCCCCCTTAAAAAAAAATGATTTATTATAAGCGCATATGCGCTACTATCCGGGGTATTACGGTATATCTCGCTTTTATGTCATATCTGATATTGGTCTCTTCACAACAACATCCGTGAAACTACTGAAAATGAAGGACAAAAAAAAATGCAAACTGCAATAATAATGTCTGTATTGTTGCTGATTTGGTTTATACTGTAAGCCAAGAGTTGTGTAATCTGAGCGTTAATTTACTGTTCTTGCACTAGCACTCTAATACTCATCAGATGCATTTCCCCATGCAAATGCATGTCACATCGCGCATTTCAAAATGCTGTGTCACATTTCCATCTCTTTCTCAACGCCTCCACTGTGCATGCATACAAAACACACACGCATCCCTCGCCACCCTGCTTATCCCACTGAACATTTCTCCCGTTTCTCGCATGTTATCACGTGACGCTCTCCCCCTGCCTTCTTGAGCGCGGTCACTCATCCATGCCGAGCTCTTGCACCTTGAGAAACGCATGTACAGCATTTCTATACCGGCGCCCCTGAACTGCGCAATGCGTGCTATAGCCCCGAGCCGCGTGAGAGCTAGTATAAGTCCCAGAACGGCCAAAGCTCGCAACGAACTGAAGAGACTTTGAATATTTGAGCTTCTCGGAGCTGCTCCTTTAGTAGTCGGCATGACCTGCAGTGACCCGTGTATGAATGTCATCGTCAGAGCAGCAATGTAATCAAGCAGGCTCGCTCCTCTTCTAGGAAAGGGAAAACGGTTTTCGTTCCTCTCCTTGCCTGAGCTGAGTACCTCGCCTATTATCCACGCTTTCTGCCTCACCTTCCGCCTTGTGCGCTGCTTCTAATGGCTCCGGTAGAACCCATGGCGCATACAAGAAGCCTCACAACCAACACCACCTCCCCATCCCCTTTCTCCTCCCTCCTACAACTACCCCTCTCCACTCTCTTCCAAGCATTGCTCCTGTTTCAAAAACATCAGCAGAATCTGACTACCTCACCTCTCTCTGCCCAGCCGTCCCAAGCTCCTCTCTTTCCCGACCTCCCTTCCCTCGTCACCACCATTGCATGCATCTCCATATCTCTCATACTCCTCCTCTTCCACCGCCGCAGCCGTTGCATCCGCTCCTCCTACCCACCCGGCCCCGCGCCGTGGCCAATCCTTGGGAACATCCCGTCGCTCGGAACCCTCCCGCACCGCTCCCTCGCGAAGATAGCCGACAAGTTCGGCCCGATATTCACCGTCTGGTTCGGTCCCACCCCGTGCGTGGTCATCTCCTCCCCGGACCTCGCACGCGCGGCGCTGAAAGCACAGGACAGGCTCTTCAGCGGCCGCCCGCTGGTCACATCCACGCGTGTGCTCACCCTGTGCGGCAAAGACGTGGCATTCGCGCCGCCCGACCAGGCGTGGAAAAAGCGGCGGCGCCTGGCGTTTCTGCACCTGCTGTCCGCGCGCCAGCTGGCGGCGAGCGCGGCGCTGCGTGAGGAGGAGGTGCGGGCGATGGTGGACGCCATGGTGGGGGAGGTGCGTCGCTGCCAGCACCCTGCTTCTACGGTCGGAGGGGCCGAAGCGAGTGGAGTGGGTGGAGGTGTAGGTGGGGGAAGGGGTGCAGGTGAAGGGGGAGGTGCATGGGAAGGGGGAGGGGGGGGTGTGGTGAACATGAGGAGCTACTTGGGTCGAGCCACGCTCAACAACATTCTGCACCTCACCGTGGGTAAGCGGTACCCTTACAGCTTCAGCAGTAGCAGCAGCGGCAGGGAGCATAGCACGGACGATGCTGGTGGACCTACCTCTGCTGCTGCTGCTGCTGCTGCTGCTGCTGCTGCTACCATTGCCGATGCTGCCAGCACTGCCACTGCTGCCAGTGGTGCTACTAGCGCCGTTGCTGTTGCCACTGCTGGTAATGGCAGGTCCTCGCTGGAGCAGGAGGGAGAGAGGGTGGCAGCGATGGTGGATGAGGTGTTTCTGGTGGTGGGGGCGTTTAACTTCAGCGACCACCTGCCGTGGCTGCGCTGGTGGGACCCCCAGGGTATTAACGCGCGGGTCAGGCGGGTGCAGCCAGCCATCCATGGGTTTGGCCGTGCATGCATCAGAGAGAGGGCGGAGGTGGTGAAAGAGATGGAGAAGCATGGGCTGGCACGCACGGAAGGTGCGGCAGGTGCGCAGCAGCAGCAGACAGTGGAAGCGAATACGCAGCAGCGACTGGCATTAAGAGGAGACGTGACAGTGCAAGAACGCAAGGGGCTGCAGGCGCGAGTCGCTACTGGGGATGGGAAGGAGACATCAGAGTCCCGGGGGCACAAGGAGCATGTTAATGAGGCCTGTAGGCATAAGGTGCTGGTGGACTTCCTTCTAGAAAGCCACCGGGCGTGCGGTGAAGGGGGGAAGGGAGGAGCAGGAGCAGGTGGAGAAGGAAGGGGGGTGGGAGGAGGAGGAGGAGGAGGAGGAGGAGGAGGAGGAGGAGGAGGAGGAGGAGGAGGAGGAGGAGGAGGAGGAGGAGGAGGAGGAGGAGGAGGAGAAGGAGGCGGAGAGGACTCACTGGATGAGGAGGAGATGTTGATGCTGGTGATGGATATGATTCTAGCTGGCACCGACACCACGGCCAAGACTGTCGAGTGGGCGCTGGCGGAGCTTGTCAACCACCCCCACGCGCTCAAGTGCCTTCAGGACGAGATTGACGCTGCTTTCAGCGCACCAGCTGCTGCTGCTGCTGCTGCTGCTGCTGCTGCTGCTGCTGCAGCGAGCAATGAAAGTGATATGTGCAGCACTGCTACGCAGGAGGGTGAAGTTCAGGGACTTGGCGAGGAGCCCAGTCAGCACGGCAGCGTGCCCAATCCATCCACCATGCCGTTCCTCCAGGCAGTGATCAAGGAGACTCTGCGGCACCACCCTGTGGCGCCGCTGCTGGTGCCCCACAAGACCACAGCGGCCACAGCACTAGGCGGGAACAGCATTCCTGGCGGCACCATGGTGCTGGTGAACACATGGGCCATCAGCCATGACCCCAGGCTCTGGGACCACCCCCAGGAGTTTGACCCCTGGCGCTTCATGCCACCGCCGGCCGTACCACCACCCTCTGGAGCCAGTTCACCCGACCCCATGGCACCACGATCACAGCCCATAGCAGCGCAGGAAACAGCAGCACAGGCAACTGTAGCCCCTGCGCCCTCCGCCACCACCACCACCCTCACGCCGGCCTCGTGGGACCCCTCCAGCGCCTTCCTTATGCTGCCCTTCGGCGGTGGGCGGCGGGGGTGTGCCGGCATGGCTCTGGGCGTGGACATGGCTGCTCGCATGCTCGCTGCTCTCCTGCTCCGCTTCCACATGGCCATGCCACCGGACAGTGCCACCATGGATGGTGCTGGAGGGGTGGAGGGACGAGGAGGAGGGTGTGTGGAGTTGGGGGAGGTGCTTGGGCTCACTATGGCTATGATAAAGCCGCTTAGGCTGCTGCTGTGGGAGAGAGAGGTCTGTCAGCAGGTGTGAAGAGGTGGCTAGGGTTGTGCACGAGAGGTGATTAGATTGGTGCAAGCTTGACGGGGAGGACTCTGCCATGGCGGAAAAGCTTCCAGTATTCGAAATCAGCCAATTTTGTGCAATTGGTGCCTTCACCTGCGCGGAGCGCACCCAATTGCTGTGGTCGTGATTAGAGAGTGTAAATTGTAGTCCTGTGCATAGTCAGTTCACATGCATGGCTGCACTTGATGGTCCTGTTTTTTTTTAATAAAACCAATGCCAAGGTACAGGAAACAGAGAATACGTAGCCCTCTATTCCCCCAACATCTTCCTACCGTACCTACAACTCTCACTGCTACACTCAAATTTCCTTGCTTCAAACTTAGAGCTGAGGCAGCTCAAAGGTGCCAGTGTATTCCCAGCCATGGCAACATGACCTACCGTATCATGTATCACGCACGCAGGCCTCTATCTCAACTCATATCATCTAAGCAGACAAGCCACCTCTCTCGAGATCAACTCAGCAGACGTCCCCCCTTGCGTCCCTTGCCTCCCTGCCTTCAGCCACAGCAGACGTCCCGCACCTCCCACTCCCCTCTCCCTCCCAGTTGTATCCCGTTCTTCCATTCAAAACCGCCTCATCCCGCTTCATCTCATCCCTCAGCACCCTAGTGCGCGCTACCAGCGAGCGCACGACCATCACCTCACCCCGCAGTCCAGTACTTCTTGGCGCACACCAGCACCGCCTCGCCCTGCGCGCCGACCTCCCCGCCGCTGCTCTCAATGCGCGCGTCCCAACGGAGCCCGGGCGCGAGGCGCAGCAGCTGCTGCAGCACGGGCAATTCATCATGAATCAACACCGCGCCCTCCGGCCGCAAAATGCGGTCCATCTCTAGCAACACGTGCTCCACGGGGCACGGCCGCTTCACCCACTTGGAAAACAGGTTCGACACGTGGACCAGGTCGTACGTGCGCGGGTACGTCGAAAACGCCTCGCACCAGTCCTGGTACGATCCCAGCAGCCCGCGCTCGTAAATCACCCCAAGCGTGTCCGCAGCCGAAAAAGCCACCGTCGAGGGGGAAGTCGCAACGGCCTCCACGCCCGCCCCTGCGCCCGCCGGCGGCTCCCCGTCCGCGCCGATGGCGGTTCCGCGCTCCACGGGCACCACGTTCATCACCCACACGGGGTCCTCCGCTTCCGCCAGCGCTGCCGCGAAGCCGCCATCGCGCGCGTTCATGTCCATGATGTTGCGGTACCGCCCCTGCCCCAGCCCCGGGAGCAGTTTCTCCTTGTACCAACGCACGCGGCGCCGCCACTCCTCCGTGTCCGCGCGGAACCCGTCCGCGGACGCCAGCGTATCAGCGCCGCCGTTGCCCAGAACCATCTCCGCTCCGTCAGTTGCTTCGGCGGAAGCGGACGCAGCGGGAACGAGGTTCAGCGCGATGCGGGGCGGAACGGCCGTCAGCCTTTCCGGCCAGTTCGCCGGCCTGCCGCCAGGAACACCGTTCGCGTCAGTGACGGCCGGCACGGGGGTGAGGCACGCGGGCATGGGGGTGTACCACGACAGATCCGGATCCTCCGCCGCGGGGCACATGGGCGGAACACTGTTCCCTTCCGCCGCCTTCCCCTTGAGGCATTCCCCGTCGAGCGGCTTCTGCCACACCGCGAACATGCCCTTCTCCGCGTACTTCCGCCAGCACAGGCTCTCCGCCGTGCGCTCAATTTCCGCCTGCTCCGCCGCAAGGTCCGCCTCGGGGCGGTTCCACCCGCTGGCGTAGTGCTTCCAGTAGATGGGCGGGCCTGTCAGCACCCAGAAGCCGCCCGGGCGCAGCACGCGGTCGATTTCCGCCAGGAGACGACCATCTGCGCAAGGGGGCAAAGGGGGAAGGGAGGGGGAAGGGGAGGGCGGTTGAAGGAGCGGGAAGCCAGCGTGTTGAAACCGATGTGAGGCGGCACCACATTAAAAAAAAAATCGCTCCAGTTTTTTACCTCCCTCGCTCGAAACCACCTCTCCTCCCCTGTCCCTCCTCTCCTTTCCACCTCTCTTTCCCATCTCCCTCTCTCGCCCCATATATTCAAGCTCTCGTACCTTCGCGGGCCCACGGGATGAGGCAGCGCGAGCAGTGCGCAAGGTCGAAGGAGCGCGGCGGATACGGCAGGCGCTTCGTGGCCAGCACGCCGATCATGGCGGGCAGCCCGCGCTCCAGCGCAAACTGCACCTGCGCCTCGTGCCCGTCGCGCGGCGCCAGCGACATGGTCAGAATGCCGCGGTTCAGCATGTACGCGCCGAAGCTGCCCACCTGCGTGGGGAAGGAGCCGAGCCGGGGGAGGTGAAGGAGATAAGCAAAAAAAGAAAATTAGCAAGGAGCCATGAGAGTTGACATGACATACAAGCGAAAAAAATAATAGCAGGGTAAAAATCTAGGCGAGCGCGGCAGCGCGTACGTACCCCGCAGCCCGTGTCCAGCGCGGTGCGAATCGACCCGTCTGTGAGCGGAAGAATCTTTCCGAGCTCCTCGATGTAAGCATCCGCGCCGTCGTGGAACATGGTCCCGCCGCCAGGGAACAGAAACTTCTCCGTTTCCTCCTCGTACTGGATCCAGTGCTGGTCCGCCTTCGCCGTCGTCAAGTGCTTGTGCGGCACGTTCACGTACCACGCTTCCACGCGGCTCTGCGGCCAGGGGAGCGGCGACTTGTACCCGACGGGTGGCGGAATGAGGCACTGCTTCACCTCGCGCACTGGCGGGCAGTGCCGCTCGTGGTGCATCATGGCTGTCTTGGGGAAAAGCTTCGCGCGATTGGGATCTTCGCACGGCGTGTGGTCGGTGAGGGCGGCGTCGCACGGCTCGAAGATGCGCGCCGCCTGCGCCGCTTCCGCCAGGTTATACCGCACCTGGTTGAGGAATCGGCGCGGCGGCAAGGCGCGGCGAGAGGCCTTGCGGTATCGCGTGCCCGTGGGAACCGGCACCTCCTCCATATCCTCAGCGTTTCTATCAACCGCGAGCAGAATCAGAGGATTGCGGGTGAATTCGTCAGACACATCCGCGTTATCAGACACCGGATTGCTCAGAAGAGGTAGATCGACGAAGCGCGGGCCGGTCGGCGTGAGCAGGGAGCGCGCGACTGATGGGGCATGGACCGTCGTGTTGCCTGGAGCAAGCGAGGACCGCCAAGCCGATAACGAACGCGCAAACCATGGCAAGCAGCTGCCAGCCTGGCCCTCCTCGATCGCGTGACGGCATTTTGAGTTGTGCTAGTACCACTGACTCACTGAAAATATTATCAGCTTTTATCAGACTACTCTAAACGTACGACCTGTGAATCTGGGAAAGGAACGTGAAAGCAAGATTCCGACCTCCTCTCCTTTGTAGGCTTCTATTTTGTGGTGCTGTCTGCATACCCATACCACGAAACAAACCTGCAGACTCTGCTGCACAAGGGAGGTGTGGGCCGGTGGATTCGGGTGAATGTGTTTGTTCCAAACCATCGCGCCTTGGGAATTTCTTCCCTTTCCATGCCGCAGAAAGCGAGGCGCCTCAGCTCGGCTTGACCTGGAGATTATCCGTTTGGTTGGAGCAGGGCGGGGAACGCGTGGTTATTGGCTCGGCAGGGTGAAAACGGAGGCTCGGCGAGTTTGGCGCGGTAACGCACAGACACAGAACACAACATCCCTTGTCGCACGGGTCCTCTGTCGCCCAGCTCGACCTTGGAATTTGGCAGAGACGACGACAGGCGACAACTGACAGGGTCCAAACCAACCAGGACGAAGACGAGTACAGCAAAGTTCTCTTGACGAATCTGAACCTGGATCTTTGAATCTCAATAATGTATATAAGGTACCACCAGCCTGAAATATATATTCATTTGTACACATGGCACTAAATGGATGTAGTTCATCAACAAGCTGATGATTGCTCCAGGACTTTCCTGTAAGAAAAACAGATTATAATGCAAAATTCCTCTCCATAGCTTCAACTTCACTGGAGCACATGGCAAGTTGCAATCCATGATCAGTCTCTTCACAGGCTCAGTACTAAATCGCTGTGGCTTGAGGGTTTTGGCCCTATCCATAAGAACGTGCGATTTAAAATGAAAGGTGCAATGAAGCAGATTCAGGGTGATGTGGATGGACTGTCAGCAATGAAGTATATTATACCATGAATGTGGCTCGGGAATATGAAAGCACAAGTTTCTAGAAATTCTACCCTAACCTAATCCGCAAAGCAAAAACAGCGAAAGCAGAAGTCACAATCTAAAGATAAAAGTTATGCGGCCTTCACGCTTGCCGACCCAACTAGGAATTTCAGCGAATTCAGATACCAGCGTCTCATCCCAGTATGGCCCTCCATACCAGGCTCTCAAAAGCTTCCCAGAACAGGTGACCATGCCTGGGTTCGGTGAACTGCAGCTGACCGGGTGGAGTAAGGAGAGATGGTTGAGTGAGCGTCCGGTGGGTGAGGGAAGCAAGGTCACTGACTCTCCTCCGTCGCTCTGTCCTCACCCTGCATTTCGTTTCACAAACCGGAGCCAGCTCACAACACAAATCGACTTCCCAAAGGACTTGCTCCGCCGGCTTCCTTGTCTGCAGCGCTCTAAAAGTTAAGCTTAGCTGGCATCTGGTCAATGCAGTCGTCCCACGGGCCCAGGTTCTTATCCGCTCGCACCGTCCTCAGCGCCTTCCACACGGCGCTGTTGCACTTGAACCCGGACCCGAACGCGATCTGCCACACGCGGTCGCCGCGTCGCACGCGGCCCTTGGCCTCGGTGTACGACAGCTCGTACCACACGGACGACGACGACGTGTTGCCGAAGCGGTACAGCGTCATGCGCGACGGCTCGATGTGCCACGGCGTCAGCTCCAGGTTCTTCTCCAGCTCGTCCAGCACGGCACGGCCGCCTGCGTGGATGCAGAAGTGCTCGAACGCGAGCTTGAAGTCCGGAATGTACGGCTTGAGCTTCATGCGGAACACCTTGCGCGCGATGAGCACGGCCGCAAACAGCAGCTGCTCCGACAGCGGCAGCACCAGCGGGCCGAGCGTCGTGATGTTGGTCTTGAGCGCCTCGCCTGCGACGGACATGAGATCGCGCGAAAGCGACACGCCCACGATCTTCTGGTCGTCCTCCTCCTGGAAGACGCACTGGTAGTGCTTGTCGTTGGCGCCCATGTGCGTGCGCACCAGGTGCTGCAGCTTGTACTTGGCGCGCCAGCTCTCGCTGTTCTTGTTCGTCAGCAGCAGCGCGGCGGCGCCGATGCGGAAGATGCAGTTGGGGATGAGCATGGATTTTTTGTTGCCGAAGTAGAGCTGCTGGGTGGTGTTCTCGGTGGAAACCACCACAGCGTACGAGTTCCCGTGCACCTGAAGCATATCGCGCGCCAGATCCACAGAGATGACTCCCGCGCTGCAGCCCATGCCGCCGAGGTTGAACGACCGGATGTTGCTGCGCATCTTGTACTTGTTGATGATCATGGCGGACAGAGACGGCGTCGGGCAGAAGACGCTGCAGTTCACGATGAGGATATCAATGTCGCGAGGCTTGAGCCTGGTCTTCGCGAACAGCTCGTCCAACGCGCCGAAGATAACCATTTCAGCCTCATTCCGCGCCTCGCCAAGGGACTGGTTGAGAGGGAGGTTCACGAACCCAGGAGGCAGGCACGTGCGGTCGCCTAGCCCCGCGCGTTCGAGCACCTTGCCCTGGAACTCAAGGCACTTCTCATCGAACCGCCCGATTTTCCTCGCGTGCTCCAGCGCGCCCTTGATGGTCATGGCGAGCGATTCCGGCGGCTTAAAGCACGCGAAGTCGACGAGGTAAACGGGTCGCGAGCGCAGCATTAAATAGACGGTGAGTCCGAAGACGGCAAGTGACAGGCACGCGACCACTGGGATCAGATTTAGCTGAACGCTGTCCCAAATGAGATTCAGATCGTTGGGAGTGACGCGGGAAATCTGGAGCGCCACCGATGCGATAATCGGAACGAGGAGCATTGGCAGACCGTGTGTAACCAGGTAGTGGTAACCAAGCTTCACATGACCCATGCTCACGCTTTGGAGGAAATCTGGAAGAACACGGCGAGATCCGTCTTCTGGCTCCATGTAGGCTTGAGCGGCCGTGGGCATTTCTTCTGCAGGTCTGGGTTCTCCGGTTGCAGAAGCCATGGCAGCAACTGGAGTTAAAGGTAGTAATGTCGACTGCAATGCCTGGCCAGTCCCGGTACCTCTGGTAACCAACGGATGGCCTAGCCAAGCTGAACCAAGTGACAGAGCAAGAATGGAAAAGAAAGCTGGAGAGGAATACGCGAATCTGGGATAGAAAGGATGTGGGGGGAAGGGGAACTCAAGTAGAGAGTTTTGAGGGGCTGTGCGACGTGCTGCTGCTGGCGTTCACACAGGGTAGCAAGAACCAGAGACAACTTGCGACGTGGGGAATTGACGGACCTCCGTTGTGCCAGAGCTTCACCAGACCAGAATGCTAGGCGGGATCAGCCCCGGACGCGGCTCCTCTCAACGGTATTGGTTCGGCTTGCTTCGGTGCCGTGCGGCTTTTAGGTTGCGGTAGAGGGTGCTTGGCTCGGCGACGTGCGGTTTCGGCGCGAACCACAATTGGCCAAGCAGGGACCACAGGCCAATGCAAGGAGAAGATATTCGTTGGAGGGAAACTCGAGGTGTGTTTTACTCTGCAGTGGATCCCGAGTGCCCAAACAAAGGCGCGGAATCGTCTGATTGGTGGTGAGGTGGGCTCGACAAGAGCTCCTCTGTCGAACCGCGTCAGAATCAAGAGCCGAACAACCAATCAACCTCTGCTATTTTTCAATGAAGGGGCACGAAGAATGACGTCAGCCATTTCACATTCCTCAAGCCGAAAGTTCAGCGATGAATACTGCACCTGTTACGGGATGCTTCGTAGTCTAATATCTCCGCAACAGTTATTTTCTAAACCTGACTTATTTCTCTGCATTTGCTCCTATGTTAGCTTTCAACAACTTTCCCTACCCCCGAGTTGTGAATGTGGATGTTTTGCATTATGTAATGCAGCACATCCTTAAAATAATTAAATATTGTCCCAGTTTCATCAGCATGATAAAGACATTTTAAAAGTCAGCAGTATCACTTTTATTGTTGCCTAAAAAAACAAAATATTATAGCTTTCAAGTAATGTATGTCCATAAAAATTCCTAACCGTAAGTTTGTGTTGTGTGCAGTTTGTATATTCTGCAATGGAATGCAATGGGGATCTGCAATTTAACCTAATGGAAATTTACTTGTTATGGAAATTACAAAGTGATGCAAAAGTCTTCGATTTAGAGTCACGCGTCGTGATTTGTTCAAAAGCCTGCACCATGCATTATTCCTTCGCGGATGTCAGCAATGCAAATCCGCGCGCCGCCAGTAACCGCGCCGCAAATTTGCCACCAAGGGAGCTCGCGCTGCGGGTGCTGCCACATACTACTGTATCGGCAAACATGTGGGCCCCAAACCAATCCAATTCAACCGAACTCCACGGCACTATACCCTGCCTCTCATGAGGTAGAACTTCTAGGGCATGCTGTCACAGCACTGATTGTCGGACAAAATGCTGTTGTGGAATGTTTGGCTTTTCGTCTGGTCTGGTCCCATTCCAAGCCCCAAGCCCAGTCTTCAGCAGCACATGAAGTGACCACATATTCCCCTTTCCATGGCTTTCATGAAGTCCTCCGCCTAGGTCAGCAGTTCGGCATAGCAAGGCACCGTAGAACCTTCAGTACTGGAAACAAGATTGGTTCATTGGATGGTCTGCTGGAACCAGCCACGTGACGTAGACGTACACCCACGCCTGTTTATCGTAGCCAGCTTTCCTGAATACTCCATTACAACTGAGTCTCGACTTCCATTTTTGTACGCATTTTTGGTCGAATTCAACTCTTCGTTATGGGAAACAGCGAGAGCAGGCCAGCAGACAAGCGGACGCGCGAAAGGGCGAGCGTAGTGTCGGGACGAAGCAGCAACGGATCCGTGGCGCAGCTTATTGCGAGGGAGCGATCCGCAACTGTCGGCAGCATGATGTCCTCACGTCGCAACCCCATGATCGCTGCCGCTGCTGCTGGAAATGTCGAGGTGGGTAGATCCACTATCAGCTCCCATTCTGAAACGTCTGAGAAATCTCGTTCTTTCCATATTTTCTACTCACCCCCGCTCTGTATTCGTCGCGTTTTTATAGCCCTAGTAACTGGCGTAACCTGACTGATGACCTCCTTTCGTCTGCGTTCGCAGCTCGTCGCACGGCTTTTGGCAAGCGGGGTGGACAGAAATGGCTGCTGCTCCACAGGCAAGGTATGTTTCTGCGTCGTTCATCCACCATATGCCATACGCACGTCCAGATTGCAGTTAAGTGGGCTTTACCTCCAGTGGGGTGTCAGCACTCCCTTTTTATCGCCTGAACCGCTGGGTTTCACCTTGCGTGTGTGGGTGCAGACCCCGCTTATGGCGGCAGCGAGAGGAGGACACGTGGCGGTCGTCACGATGCTGCTGATAAACGACGCCTCGGTACGTCGCCGACTCTTTTTCCCGCCCTTTTATACCGCATCGACTTGCGCACATCCAGTTCCTTCGCGACACGTGGCACCCGTGCTAAACTCCGTAACCGAGTAATATGCTTTTGAAACCTCTGGACCTTGGCTTTTAAGCTCCCCTCCCTCTCCCCTACTCTCGTCACATTCCCCCCCCCTTGTCTCTCTCTTCGCAGCTGCTGCGATTTGATAAGACCAGCGCGCGATCGTGCCTGCACATGGCGGCTCGCGCGGGCAGCGCGGAGTGCGTCGAGGCTGTCTTGGTGGCGGCCAAGGCGTCGCACGAACTGCGCGACTCATGGTGAGAGGGTGATGATGCTGCTGCTTCTGCTAATGTTTCAAACGTCTTGCTGCTCCTTCGCTCCGGACCTCGTTCCCGGTTCCTTTTCCTGCTTTCCGATCTTCTCGTTACTACCATATGGATGCCCAGTTTCATCGTACTCGGCGCCTCCCGTCCTTCGTCCCTTCATCGCTCGTCGCTCGTCGCTCGTCGCCGATCGCCAGGGGCTACCGTCGCTTCGTCAACGCGCGCGACGCCACGGGGTTCACGGCGCTGCATCTAGCGGCAGCGGCGGGTGCGGAGGGCGCGGTGCGCGTGCTACTGCGGGAGGGCGCGGCGGTCAGCATCACGACGGCGTCGACGGGCCACGCGTGAGTGCGGACACGTCGAAAATGATATCACGCGTCGAGAATAATATTTATTCTGAAGCCGCAATCATGCGGTGAAACTGGGTGAAACAGTAACAGTAACCGTAACTGTAGCTGCAGCTGCGTCGTTTGTAGCCCAGCCTCGGTGCTGCAGCAGTTCCTGAATCTGATCTTATCCCTTGATTCCCCAACCCTAACCCTGTCCGTAGCAGTCCCGGGAACCACGCGCTGCACATGGCCGCGCGGAGCGGGAGCGTGGGGACGGTGTTGGCGCTGCTGGCGTGGGGCGCGGACAGAACCGCGCTCAACCACTCCAAGCTGACGCCGCACGCCCTGGCGGTGCGCGCGGAGCGGGAGCGCGGATGGAAGGCGCGCGCGGAAACGGGGAAGAACGCGCTCGCGGAGAAGGGGGTGCGCGCGGAGAGGCGAGGGAGTGGACGCGCGGGCGGGGGGAAGAGCGGCGCCGGTGGTGCCAGCGCCGGCGCCGGCGGCGTTCCCCCACGCTCCGACTTCAAGCGCGTGGTGGCGCTGCTGAACCCTAAGTCCCCCGCGCCCCTGGTGTGGCCCTCCCCCTGGGCGCAGCTGCTCGCGCGCGCGCCCCCGCACGTGGTCTGGCTGCTCCGCGCTGCCCTGGCGCAGGCGGGGGGAGAGGAGGCGGAAGAGGCAGGTGGAGTGGGGCAGCAGGTAGAAAAAGGAGAAACGGAAGGGATGAAGGGTAGCGGCGTGAAGAGGAGGGAGGAGGGGGTGTGTGAGCAGTTGGGCGGCATTCATGGTGGCGGTGGCAGCGGTAGCAGAGGCGGCAGATGCTGTGTGGTTGGTGATGGTGGTGGGGATGTCGTAAGAGAGGGTTGGGTGGAGGGCGGGAGGAGCGGCAGTAGAGGCATGGGCATGGGTGCTGGCATGGGTGGGGAGGTCGGTGAGGGGAGAGGGGCGCATGAAGCGAGGCAGCACGTGGTAGAGCAGTCTGCAGTGGGGATTGGAGAGGCGGAGAGCAGGAATGGAGAGGGGAGTGCAGGGCACGGCTCCAGTGGGGATGGGGCTGGGAGGACGAGAGAGGAGGAGAGGAAGGAAGGGGAGGGTGGGGAGTGTGGGAGGGTTGATAGAGAGACGGGAGATGGTGTGGGTGTGGAGTCGCCTATAGGGAGGATGTTTGAGTTGGATCAAAAGAGAATGAAGGAAAGACAGGGAGGGCAGGGAGGGGAGGCGGGAGAGGGAGGGGTGAGTGGTGGTCTGAAGCAGGACGGGTGTGTGGGAGGAGGGGGATTGGATGGGGAGGTGGAAGAAGGAAGCGCAGGGGAGGGGGGAGAAGGAAGCGCAGGGGAGGGGGGAGAAGGAAGCGCAGGGGAGGGGGGAGAAAGCACAGAGATGGGGAGCAGACAGGGCCGCGCAGAGAGGGCGGAGCAGCAGGAGGGCATGGTGGGGCAACAGTCAGAGGACACAGCGGGGGAACAGGAGGGACACAATCAGAGCGAGTTGGCAAGGAGGACAACACAGGAGCAGGAAGGAGTGGTAGCACAGGAAACGGAACAGGCGGGAGAGAGAGTTATGGTGCGGGAGCAGGTGGGGAGGGTGGAGGAGGGACGGCGGGATGGAGAGGCGGCGGTGGGGGGCGGTGGGAGTCGAAGGGGGAGTGGAGGGGAGGCCGATGGCAGTGTGTGCCTCATCTGCTGCGAGCCGTGCCCTCTTGCTCCACAGTACTTGAACAGCAGCGGTAACAGTGGTAATAGTGGCAGCAGAGGAAACAACAGCAGTGGCAGCAGTAACAGTGGCAGCAGTAATAGTGGCAGCAGTGGCGGCAGCAGCAGTGGTGTGGCGTCTCCTTTCAGCATGTGTTCATCTCCTTCGAGTGTGTGTTCCCCTGTTAGCGGGCAGGGCAGCAGCAGCACCACTACTAGCCCCTTCTCCAGTGGACCACTCAGCATGAGTACAGGTAGCAGCAGCAGCAGCAGCAACAACCTGACCACCCACGCTCACTCGTACACCCACTCCCACACTCACTCCCACACTCACTCTTACACTCACTCCCCTCCGCTTTCGCCCTCCGGTGGCCTATCCCCGCCTCCGCCTGGGTATTTGCTTGCGATGCTGCCCTGCTCGCACCGCCTGTGCCCCACGTGTGTGCTCTCCCTGCTGGCACACACCAAGCCAAACTCGCACGTGGCCCTGCCGCCCAGCCCTATTTGTCCTTTCTGCCGGTGTGGGATCGAGGGCTTGGATGTGGCACGGTGAGACAGTAGGGGAGGGGATGGAGAGGTTGGAGGGAGAGGGGAGTGGGGAGGAATGGAGAGTGGGGAAGGAGTTGAGGGATGGGGACTGACGGGAGGGGGAACGGAGAGAAGGAGAGATGGACGGCGAGGGGATGGGAGCAAAGGAGTGGACATGGTGGGGAGTGAAGGGCTGCAGTTGGTAGTTGGAGTGGCAAAGAAGATACCGTTGCATGCGGTTGGATGGATTGTGGAGGCTGATCAGGAGCATGGGAAAGCAAGGTGAGAGGGCCTAACCTTGTACCGTAAGCTGTAACTTGGTGCAAGCAGAGTGATAGATGCATGACGGCCTAGGAATAGGGTGTACACATGTTATCGGGAATAAGATAGGCAATTGGGATAGTCGCAGTCCCATCCCATCTGCATGTATGTACCTACCATAAGAAAGTATATGTGCTCCAATAGTCTTACCGGTATAAGAAAATAGAAAGAATTTAGCATGTAAGGCAACCTGATCCCTAGACAATTTCACTACTCCATCATTCATCCTGCAACACGAATTTAACAAGGCCGCAGCAGGTGCTGGACCTGACCTGAAGTGTGAAACAGAGAGCCATGGACCAAACACTCAGTCAGTCCTTAACTCCAAGAAACGTCCCTTCCTCTCGCATCATCCCCTCGGTCTGATAATAACAGTTGTATCTACACATGTCGTTGTTTGGGTCATAGAACCACAGCCCGCCCTTGCGAAGGCGAGCGAGCTTGTTCTCCTTCCCCCGCACCCAGTTGTTGTGCAGCGTGGCACACTTGTGCTTGCGGCACTCGAGAGCCGGCCACTTGCGGAACCACACGCGGTGGGACAGCCCATTGGGATGCAGCCACCGATCCATGAAGTGGACCCGCAGCCCGTTCCCCGGCCAGACACACTCGTCCTCGCCCTCCGTGTTCTCCCCTTTCGGCCCGCACAGCACGTGGTAGAAGCTCGGCTGTTCGGAGGTCTTTGTCGTTGCGGCATGGGCCACGATCGCTTCGAATGCCTGGATGACCATGGGCTCGGCCCGAGCGAAGTAGAACCCTGAGTTGATGAACCCGTGCGGGGAGGTGATCCCCTGCCCGTTGGGGGGTTCCTTGTCATATCCCGCATCGCTCTGTACGGGAAGAACCCCGGAGCCAAATTCCAGGAGTTCTGGAAGTGGGTCGCGGAACCAGACTATATCCACGTCGGACCACAGCACGTGGATACCGCGTTTCAGCACCTGCAGCACGGCCCTGGACTTGACTTTTGTGATGCGCTGGAAGCACTTGGTGCCATACGTGCAGGAGGGGTCGCGGCCGGCGGGGCCTGTGTCGGCACGGAACACCGGGAGGCCGTGGAGGGACGCGAAGCGGAACATATCATCGTCGAATGCGGCGATGAGGGGGAGCGGGAGGAGCAGGCGGCGCAGGTTGCAGACGAAGGACATGAGCATGGAGGCGTAGGAGCCGGTGGCTGCGACCAGGATGACTATGTTGCGATGGTCCACGGCCAGAGGGAGCAGCTCGTCGAGACCTCTACGCTGTAACTCCGCTCCACTGCTGGCGCTGCTGCTGGTGGAATCAGTGCTGCTGCTGCTGCTGCTGCTGCTGCTGCTGGTGCTGTCCAATGCGGTGCTGCTGTCAATGAGGCTTTGGTGGGTGGCAGGGTTGTGATCTGGGGACAGGTAGCCGGACGAGTGCACGTGCAGGAGCCCTCCTGAGGCCCCAAACCCGCTGCCTGCTGCTGTTGACGCCATGCCACACAGCCACTGGGAGGCGGGATGCCCGGGGGATAGGGAGGAGGAGGCGGAGGCGGAGGCGGAGGCGGAGGAGGAGGAGGAGGAGAAGACGGAGGTGAGGACTGAGGAGAAGGAGGAAAAGGAGGAGGAGGAGGAGGGGGTGTTGGGGTTGGTGGTGGAAGTGAGGCCGGTGGTGGCGCCCTGCTGGCAGCAGGCCGAGGGAGAGAAGCACACTGGTAGAGGGGAGAGAGCGAGAGAGGGAGAGAGGTTGCGGGGTGGAGGGGAGAGGGGAGAGGGGAGAAGAGAAAAGGGTGAGGTGAGGGGATGGGAGGGGTGTGGGAAGGAGGGGATAAGGAGAGTGAGGTGAGTGGGGAGTGTGGGCGATGGAACTAAGCCTTGACTATATTTTCAGCGAAATGAGTGTGTCAGGGAAGGGGCAGGAGCAGGATTAGCGTGTGTGGGAGCAGGGGAAACACAAAAGCAAGTGCATTCATTCTACCTTGACTGCTGTCAGATTGCCGCCCGTTGCACGGCACGACCACCCACGCGGAATCACACACTCCTGCACTACCAGCGCCGCCAACACCATCAGCGCCACTCGCTCCCTCCCCGCTTCCCTTCCCCCCTGCCGCGCCCTCTCTGCCCTGTTTCCACTGCTGCCCCAGCTCCCAGTTCACCACCACCTGCTTGTGCGGATTCCGCCTCCTCCCCTCCTGCTGCTCCTCGCAGTCCCCCTGCCCGCGCCCAAACGGGCAGCTCCAAATTCTCAGCGCGGGCAGCAGCGCGCCAGCCTCTTCTAGACTCTCCTGATGCGCCACTGCCTCCTCTACCACTGTTCCTCTCCACGTCCTCCGAACTATTTTCTTCTCTGCCCGTACTCGGGCCTTTATTTGAGGAATCAGGGTCTGGGCAGCCACAGAAACTCCCCATTTGCGCAACTCCTCCGCTAAAACCTCAAACCCCGCTTCACCCCCACCGCCCTCCCCACTCCCGCCCCCCGCGCCCTCGATCTGAGCGGAATCGGCAGCGGCGGCGGAAGTGTTAGAAAGTATATCTGGGGGGATTAAAGCCCGCGCGGATATGCACGCGAAGGCATTGCCGTCCGCATCCGCCAGCAGTTTCCGCCCTGCCGTCCCGCTGCTCCCCGTACCTGCGCCCCCACTGGCGGAAGACGCGGCGCCGGTGGCAGCTCGGAGAGCTGCGCGCGCGAGCCAGACGTCGTGGAATCCGCGGTCGTAGGCGAATGGCGGAACAAAACACGCGGGCGCATCAGCGGCGGTGCCGGAAAGGGTACTGTTGGGCGCTGCGAGAGACGCACAGAGCGGCGCGGGCGAGATGTTCCACAGCCATACCCCCACTGTAGACCGCGAACTAATTTCCCCCATGCGCCGCGCAGCCTCCCCCAGCTTCGCCGCATCCACCGCTATCGACGTGTCCATGCGCTGCTCCGCTTCTTCGCTTCCGCCCACTTGCGCAACCGCCACCGCGGCCGCCGCAGAAACTGCCTCCGCATCTCCCCGGCGCTCGCGCTCCGGCGCTAGCAGCAAGAAGTTGCCAAAGCGCGCTTCAGCGGCAAGTGCGGCGGTAAGGATGCTTGGCGAAAGTAGCGCAGACGGGCGGACGATAGCGACGAAGCGCGTGGGAGCCGCCATGGCTCGAGCGAGCATGGAATTGAAGAGCGGCTGACCGTATAAATCGGCGTCCACATAAGGATCCGCTAACACGTGGCCCGCAAAAAGCGGGTCAGTCTCGGCGTCCTTAAACGATGGGTGGTTGCCTAAGAGGTAGATCACAGGCGCGGGCTCGATGCAGAGCCAGGATATTATCGCGAGCCGTTGGATCGTGCCTGCTGGTCCATCGAACGGTCGTGGAGCAGTGAAGATCGTTAGCTCCACGGGGCGATCTCCGCCGTTGCCCCCTCGACCCCCTCCCCCTCCGCCCCTCCCCCTTCCCAGCAATCGGCGGCGTGCGCCCGCGTCGTCTGCGCCAAAGAATTGCTGATTAAGTGTCGCTTGTCTACGGGCAGTGTCAGCGTGAATTCCGGCATGAATCCCGGTGCCGATTCTAGCGCCTTCGGCTAAAATATCTGAATTCAGTGGGGGGTCGACGTCGTGGAAGGGGAGAACCGAGTTGGAGAGGAGGGAGGGACGCGCATCGGGTTCGTCGCTTGTCGATACGGCGGCTGGCGCGGAGATCGGAGAGCGGGGAGAGTGGGCGACAAGACAATGCGAAGGATTCGACGCGCATAAGAGGAGGAAAGCGAGATATAACGTTGCCAGGCATTTCATTCTGCTACGCCCCGCACATGCCGAAAGCGCGGGCCGACGGCATGCGGCCATGTCAGAAAACGCTACCTGCTCCACTCGCCAAATTAACTAATCACTATAAGGACGCCATGTCTGATAGTGACCGCACACTCATCGTATACTCCTGCCCCTGATACCCAGAGTCCCTAGCAACTGTTGGCACGACAGGGGTGCGAAGCGAGTGGGGGAAGCATAAGCCGAGAAGCGGGATGCGCAGGATACTACTGTATCTAGGTGCCTATGGTTCCAGTGGCAACTGTTGCAGCGAGTGATTACGACTAATGAGACCCAGAGGGAGGGGTAGGTGGGGGTGATGGGAAGGCAAGCTCTGATTAGGATATGCAGATGCCACATTTATGACGAAAACTGATCGCGAGTACAGCTTACCACAATTCAAAAACGAGGCTGATACTAAGAAGGTGTGCTTCGTGATTGGCTACAAAATCACAGTTGCGCGATGTGATGAAGGCCGGCTTGCAAGTGACTGAAAGCCCAATCACGTCCAAGCGCTGGGCGTTGGGATCTGCGGTCTCGAGGGTTCAAACTCCATTACTTACGACAACGCCATGTACACCACTCCCCCCCCCTGCATGCTTTATTAAGATTATTGGTTGTATTAGGGGTTTCTTGGGATGGTGTTGTCTGCGAGCGACCAACAAAGAAAAGCTGGGCACCCAAAGCACAGGGAGGCGCAGAGCAGACATGAGACGAGACGAGGCAGGCCTACCCCCAGAGAGCCATATCATACGAGACGAGAGCCACGCTGCCAGAGCCGCACCAATGCCCACCATCATGTTGTTGCCGTGCTGTGTGCTGCGCTGCTGCTGACCTGACCCATGTTTGTTCCATCATGCCTGGTACAAACACCATTCCAGCAGAGCTAACTTCTCCCATTCCAGCAATAGACGATTCGTGCGTGTCATTGCTTGCCGTTCCCTCGGTTTAGGCTTCACTGCTGTATCGTTGCGTCTTATTGTGTGAAGCTCCGGGCAATAGTGAAATTCATCCGTCCGAACAAATGCAGGATTAGGTCAGGAAGTCGCATCGGCCCTCGCGCGAAAAAAGCAGGGACAGCTCCAGGCTTGCCTGAAAAACATATCAGTCACCCCAATAAAATATCTTGCTGGAAGCAGGAAGACCATCTGCCGGCCACACAATGCAGCAGCTTGCTATCATGCTTCGCTGCTGCATGTCCTATGTCCCGGTCTGGACCCCATATACTATGACCCGTTACCAGGACGATTAGGTCGTTCGGCAAGAGAGTGCGTGCGCCATGCTTCGTAATTCCCTCGCCGGCGTCGACGCGGCAAGGCGCGCCGAGCTGGTGGAATGGGCGGAGTCGACATGGGAGAGCGGCGAGAAGGACAAGGCCATGGCTCAGCAGGTGTCGTCCGATCACACGTCGCTAGCAGCAGAAGCAGCTGTGGGACAGAACGCATCGGGAATATCAGGAACGTGGGGAAGGGTTGGAGTTATCGAGGGTGTTGGTGTTCTGAGCGCGGTTCCCAGCCCTAACTCGCTGCCGTCCGTTGCTGCAAACCCTTTCACGCGGAACCTCACAGATCCCAGCAACCGCGTCAGCAGCGCGGAGAATGCGCAGTCGTCGCAGGGATACGACTGGGCGCAGGATGCGAGAGGGGGGAAGAGGCGGACGAACTCTGGGGGCTCCGTTGCTGCAATAGACCTGGGCGTGCATTCCCACGGAGCGACGCAGCTTCCCCAGCAAGTTTCCCCCCACCATCAGTATTCTCCGCACCACAGGGTAGCATCCCCGCAAATGCGCCTGTTATCTCCGCAACACCCGCTGCAATCTCGTCTGCTCTCCCCGCAGCTTCCCCCGCAACGGCGCCTGCTTTCCCCGCAGCTTTCTCCACAGCCTCGCCTACTCTCACCGCAGCACACCTCGATGCTCTCTCCCCACCATTCTCCCCATCGCTCCCCACACCTCTCCCCTCACCACTCCCCCCACCGCTCCCCCCACCTCTCTCCCCATCGCTCCCCCCACCTCTCCCCTCAGACCCGCCACTTCTCCCCGCAGCGCTCCCCCCAGCCTCGACTTCTCTCCCCGCAGCTCTCCCCGCAGCCTCGGCTTTTCTCTCCGCAGCTCTCCCCCCAGCCTCGGCTCCTCTCCCCGCAACTCTCTCCGCACGTCCCCTCCCCCAACATTGCATTTCAGCCGCTCCATCGGCTACTCACCCCGCAACACCCCGGGGCAGATCCGCGTGAACGAGCCATCCGCCGCACGATCTCCATGCCTGAGGCGGATTTTGACGCCGCGCTTCCCTTTCCGCGCGCGCACGGCGCTTCCGCGGAGGGCGCAGCATTCGCGCCCAGGAGCAGGAACGCGCTGGGCGCCGGGGGGGTGCTTCCGCGGTTGCGGAGCCCGCAGCTGGCGACGGGGGTGCGCGGAGTGATGCTGCGCGCGATTGAGGGGCACAAGAGGGGCGCCTCCGCGGACATCGTGGAGACCGCGCAGAGGGCGCTGCGCAAGAGCAGGTGGGCCGGCGGGGGTCCGGGCGGGGAAGGGCGGTGGGGGCCGATGAGCGCAAGGGAATGGCGGCCGGGAATGGAGGTGAAAGGCTTCAATGGAGCAGGAATGGGAGCAGCAGGAAGCGGAGGGGACGAAGAGGGAAGAGGAGTAGGAGGAAGAGGAGGGGTGATGGGGGAAGAGGCCGCTGGCGGTAGCAGTAATGACAGCATCAACATCATGGTTATCGAGAGAAGTAACGACGCTGTTACTGCTGCTCCTGGTGGGCTCGGCTCCCCTCTCCCCCTAAGTCCCCACAGCGCTACAGCTGCATGGGGCTTTCCAGACGCAGCAGCGCGAGCAGCAGCACCGAAAGCACGAGCAGCAGCAACAGCGGGGGGCAGTGGGGGCAGACCTGTAATGTTCAGGAGCAACAGCGACAAGGGCCCAAACACGGGCTCCAGCACTCCTACCAGCAGGCGCGGCGACGTGCCAAGCCAAGGGCAAGCGGGGCGCATGGCTCGGCCTGTCACCTCAGTCACCCCAGGTGCAGCCCCCAGAATGGGCGGGCGAGGCGGAAGGGGACAGGGCGCGCAAGGGGCAGTGGCGCAAAAGGGGGCAGGGGGGGCAGGTGATAGGGCGGGCAGTGGAGCAAGCGAGGCGGTGGCAGGGGAATCTGTTGCTCAGGACCTTGCAAGTGGGGGTGATGTGACTCCGAGGGGCCAGAGCAGGCCTTCCTCCGTCTCTGCTTCTGCGTCTGCCTCCGCGTCTGCCTCCTTTTCGGCCAACGCAGCTGATTCGTCCACTTCTGTCTCTTCTCCCGCCACCTCTGCTGGTGCTGCTTCTGCTGCTGCTGCCACAGGTTCCGCGGCTGTTGGTGCACGGGGAGGCTCGTCCAGTGCAGGCGTTGCTGGTGAGGGTGTGTCTGCTGGAGGCAGGGGGGCTGGCACCGGTGTGGGAAGGGGTCAAGGAAGGGTTGGAGTGCAGGGGCGAGGAGGGGGAGGGGGAAGGGGTGGGGGAGGGGGGGGGAGGAGGAGGGGGAGGATTAGTAGGAGGTGGAGGAGGAGGAGAGGAAGGAGAGCAGGCGCGGTGGGCGGAATCACCCAAGGGGGCTTCACCACGCGGATTGAATATGGGAAGCGTTACCCCTCGTGCTGTCACATCCAGCAGTGCTGCATTTGGGACCCCTTCTCCAGGAAGTGTGACTCCAGGGAGTGTGACTCCAGGGAGTGTGACCCCAGGGAGTGTGACTCCAGGGAGCATGGGTTCTCGAGGCAGGGGCTTGGGAGTGGGTGTGAGAAGGCCGCCAAGAGGAGGAGGTCCTGTGCCTGCCAGCACCATGTTCCGCTCTAAAAGCCTCACAGACGGCCAACGCCACCAGCAGCAGCAACAGCAGCAGCAGCAGCTGATCTCTCCCCGACTGCACCGACCCCCCCAGCAGCAGCAGCTGCCTGGCCGCGGGGAGCCATCCCCCACAGCAGCAACAGGAGCAGCAGCAGCAGCGGCAGCAGCAAGAAACGCGTTTCCAGGCAAGGCTAGGCCCGTCACGCCTGTTCCAGAAGGTGAGGCGCAAAGCATGCAAGTAGCCACTACTGCTTCTGCTTCTGCTGCTGCTGGTGCTGCTGCTGGTGCTGATACTGGTGCGGGTGCAGCCAACGTAGGAGCCGTTTCTGCAGCTGGGCTGTCAGGTTCGACAGGGGCAACAGGGGTAGCAGACGCAGTAGGTTCAGTAGGTGCAATAGCAGCAGTAGGAGCGGCAGGAGCAGCAGAAAGAGCGGGAGGTTCAGGTGTGGGGAACGGTGGAGTGGTAGGGAGAGGGGTAGGCACAGCGCGAGTAGGAGCAGAAGGAGTAGCAGGAGCAGGAGCAGGAGCATTAGGAGCAGCAGGGGCAGCAGGAGGAGCAGCAGGGAGAGGCACTGGCACAGGCACAGGAGGGCGTGTGCCGTTTGGTGCCATGTCACCTCGGCCAGGGGGAGGTGCAGGTAGGGGTGCAGTAGGAGGTGCTGTAGCAGGAGGGGCCGTAACAGGGAACTCTATGGGTGAAGGTGCATTTCCTAGGCCAGCAAGCGGAGGAGCGGCAGGAGGGGCAATGGCCGTGGGGGCGAGCTCGCCCAGAACACCAGGAGCAGCAGCTGTGGCGAGGAGCAGCAACGGCCCTGTGCCAGCATCACCTTCAGGTTCAGGGTCAGGGTCAGGAGCAGGATTGGAAGCGGAGTTAGGATCACGGCAGGGGTCGAGGACAGGGTGGGGATTGGGGTTTGGTCGGTCCATGTCTGAGAGTGGTGCTGTTAGGAGACCGAGTGGTGCAGGTGGTGCAGGTGGTGCGGGTGGAATGGGTGGGGTGGGTGGAGTGGGTGGGGTGGGTGGGGTGGGGTTTGAAGTGGGGGAGTTTTCGAGCTTGGCTACTGTTGACGAAGTTGATGGGGCTGTAGCAGCAGAGGCTGTAGCTGATGGCGCTGATCGAGCAGCAGGAGCAGGCGGAGCAGGCGGAGCAGGAAGAGGTGGAGGCGGGGGTGTTGCACTGGGGGAGAGCACAACAGGGGTGTCGTTGTTCTCCTCTGCTTCTCTTGCTGCCTCTCAACCCCCGGTGAGCCCGCGTCCGTTAGGCCCCACTCGCCCCGCCATGGAGCAACGACAGCAGCAGCAAGGGCAGCAGCGGCAACAAGCAGCGCAGGGAGGGGGGGCAGGAGGAGCAGGAGGAGCAGGAGGAGGGGGGCAGAAGCATCCGAAGCAGCACCACGGCAAGTACAGCAGTGGCAGGCCTCCCCCAGTGACCATCCACAACCCCACCGTTGCACAGGGGCGCGCACTGAGCAAGTCTACCAGCGAGCCTGGGTGGCGCCTGGAGGACGTGTCTATGCGCTCGCCTGCCTCCCCCCGAATGCTCCCTCCACCGTATCCCCATGGCGTTGCGTCGTCTCCTAGGCAGGCCCACCCGTTCCAGCATAACCTGCAGCAGCAGCAGCAGCAGCAGCAGCAGCAGCAGCAGCAGCAGCAGCAGCAGCAGCAGCAGCAGCAGCAGCAGCAGCAGCAGCAGCAGCAGCAGCAGCAGCAGCAGCAGCAGCAGCAGCAGCAGCAGCAGCAGCAGCAGCAGCAGCAGCAGCAACAGCAGCTGCAACAACAACAGCAGCAGCAGCAGCAGCAGCCGTTTATGCAGCTACACGAGGTGCTACAGGCACAGCAGTCGCCTGGTTGGTTCTCTCCAGGGGTGAACCCGCGCCAACAAGGCCGCTCCTCCCTGCCGTCTCCCTCACACATACCCCTCTCCCCCACCTCATCCAGCCTTCGTAGCCCGCGGTTTCCTGTCCTCAACTCACCATCTTTTTCAGCTTCTGCCGCCACCACCACTGCTGATGCCTCTGCTTTCTCTGCTGCTGCTCTCACCTCACCTCGTCCCCTAGCTCCTGCTCCTGCTCCTTCTCCCACTGCTGCCCCCAGCCCCAGTGGGGCAGTAGCGAGTGGGCACAGCAGTGCGATGGCAGCGAGGCTGCAGGGGGGGGTGGCGGGGTTGCGGAGGCTGCGCAAGGCGCTCACAGCGCCCGCACAGGACCTGGCAGAGGAGGAGCAGGAGGAGGAGGAGGCAGTGACGCTGCTCAAGAGCGGCAACCTGCCCTGGAACCACAGCCCTGTCGCGTTTTCCGTGCATGCCTCCGCTGTTGCTCCTGCTGCTGCTGCTGCTGCTGCCGGTGCGGGTGGTGCGGGTGGTGCGGGTGGTGTGGGTGGTGCAGGTGGTACAGGTGGAGAGGGTGGAATGGCAGCTGAGCCCGATGATTCTGTTCCCTGTCTCATGCACTCCAACTCTATCCACCTCAGCCCTGGGCAGCGAGCAGCTGCAGAGGCTGCTGTTGCAGCTGCGGCTGCCACTGCCGCTGCTGCCGCTGCTTCTGCTGCTGCGGTTGTGAAGCCCATGTGGCCTCCGTCGCCTTCTGCTGCTGCCATTGCAGCTGGTCGTGCAGTTGATGCGGATGGGGCAGCATGCAGCAGTGGTGGAGGCAGGGCGAGGCGTGCCCACTCCATGTCCTTCTCAAGCCTCTCTGCTGCCCTGCCTGCTCATGCCGGAGGTGGGGCAGCAGGGGGAGCAGGGGCGGGCGCAGGGGCGGGGGTAGGGAGGGCGGGGAATGCAGGGGGGTATGATCCCATGGCTCTGGGTTTGGTGTCCCCTGCAGGCAAAGGCCCCATGTTTCACCGCACGTGGACCGACCCTGCTGAACGATCGAATAGAGTGCTTGCTGCTAGGAGGGCTGTCTCTGGAACTTCTGCTGCCGCCGCTGCTGCTGCTGCTGGTGCTGGTGCTACTTCTGGTACTGGTAGTACGGCTGGTACGTTTTCTGGTTTTGCATCTGCTGCCAACGGTGATGTTAGAGGAGGTGGAGGAGGAGTAGGACCCGCGCAGGTGGTATCATCAGCATCATCAGCACAGCACCTGTCTCCTCGTGCATCTGCTTCTCTCGCGTCACCACACGCACCACAGTCGCCATCTGCCTTCCCGCAACAACAACCCCACCCGCTGCTGCACCAGCCCTCACAACCCCACCCCACACCATCAGCAGCAGCGGCGGCTGGGGCCACGTTAAGTCCAACGAACGCCCGACGAGCTGCCTTCCGCAAGGCGCGCAGCGTGCCCAAGCGCCTGCTCAGCGAAGTCAGCGGCTTCGGGTCCCCCGCAGGCTCCCCTGGTGGGGCGCTCTCCGCTTCCCCCCTTGCCCTCCGCCCCCCCAGGGCTGGGATTAGCGCGGACGGGACGAGGGCCAGCCGCATGGTGGGGGGAGGCGCAGGGGGAGGAGGGGGAGGTGGTGGTGGTGGGGGAGGTGGGAAGGGAAGACCAGGAAGGAAAGGCCCATTGGATGTGCATGCTGATCTGTCAATCCTTCAGGAGCTTGAGCTGCCACTCTTCTTCCAGAATGGAAGGCCAGGAGCAGGGAAGGGAGGCGCTGGGGGGAGGAACGGGGGAGGTGGAGGACGAGGAGGCGGAGGGGCAGCAGTGGCAACGATGGCTGTGGCAGGGGTAGCGGAGGGGGTGGGTGGGGCGAGCACAGTGCATCTGAACAGGCGGGGGTATGCGCACCGAGTGTTTCGCACGCATAACTTCCCGCTGTCCGTGGGGGCTGTGCTAGGAGCGGTGTCGGACCATAACAATGCTATCACTGTCACCCCTGCCTCGCCCAATGCTGGCAACTCTGCCCCCATTGCGTCCCCTTGGACCCCCCCTTCTGCTCATGCAGCTGCTGCTGGCGGTGGCGGTGGTGGTGGTGGTGGTGCTGCTGCTGCTGCTGCTGCTGCTGCTGCTGCTGCTGCTGCTGCTGCTGCTGCTGCTGCTGCTGCTGCTGCTGCTGCTGCTGCTGCTCCCTCTGCTTCCTTTCCTCAGCACTCCTCCTCGCCTTCCACTCAGACAGTGCTCTCGTCGCCCTCTCCACCCGTCACTCCTCCGATTCTCGCTCCTGCTGTTTCTTCTGCAAGCTCAGGAACACAGGTGGGAGGGAGAGGAGGAACCGGCGAAGCAGAAGCGCCAGGAGCTGCAACCGCAGCAGCAGCAGCAGCAGCAATGGGTATGCCAGCAGGCTTTGAGTTCTTGCCTGATGGGAGGAACACAGAGTCCGTCGACACACCAGCTGCAACCACAACTGCACCTGAAACATCAGCATCAGCTGCTGCTGCTGCTGCTGCTGCTGCGCCTCCCGCGTTTTTGGGCAGGGGGCTGGTAGGAGGAGGAGGAGGAGGGGCCCTTGCAGGGCCACCACCAGGCAGTCTGATTCGTAAGCTGTCGCTCTCACTCTCACCTCTGCTCATCCCACAAACTGACTCCGTGGACAGCAATGAAGGGGGTGCTCCTGTCCCTATCGCTGTTCCAGCAACTCAGGCGTCCACTGCTGCTGCTACTGCTGCTGCTGGGGATACTTATGGGACTGGGGGGACTGGGGGGGTACCTGTAACTGCTGTTCCACTGGAAGCGTTCCCAGCAGCTGCAGGCAGCAGTGCAGCAGGAGTAGTGCCTCCCCCATGGCTCCCAGTGGCCTCTCCCCGTCCCATGCCCTCCAAGGCACTCGCCCCTCGCACCCCTGCCGCCACCACTCCCACCCTTCCCACCGCCACCACCCCCACCTTTGGAAGCCAAACCGCGAGCAACAGCAACAGCGGCGGCGGCGGCAGCAGCAACACCCGGGGAGCGGGGAGCTGGGGAGAATCAACAGCTTCTACTAGTGCCTTCGCCATGGGTATGCTGAGTCCGATGTCTGGCGGCAGGGGAAGGGGCATGGGTGCAGGCCGGGGCAGCGGGTTTGTCGCGCACTCCATCTCCCAGTCCCCTTCCTCCTCCTCTACAGGGCGAGTCAGCAGCCCTCTGCTGGGGAGTGCAGGAGGAGCAGCAGCCGCAGCGCACAACGCACGGCATAGATCAAACGGCCCTCCCAGTCCCATGGGGTCAATGGGGTCAATAGGGTCAAACGGGTTCTCAAATGGGTTCTCAAGCGGGCTGCTCAGCCCGCTCGGGTCAATGGGGTCAACCAACGGGCCTCTCAGCCCGCTCCGCTCCATGGGTAGTCTAGGCCTGATCAGTCCCAGAGGAGGCGGAGCAGCAGCAGGAGCAGCAGCAGCAGCGGCAGGCATGGGTGGTGTGAGCCACCTCATGCGGCATGCGTCTGTGGGTGCATCATCTGCCACTGCGCCCCTGGGTCTTATGAGCCCTATGGGTGGCAGGGGTGGGGGGCGTCTCTTCAGCCCAGTGCTTGCCGGGCCGCATGGGGCCGGCAGAGGGCGAGGGGGAGTGCCGGTGGGGGCTGCAGGAGCAGCAGCAGCAGGAGGAGAAGCAGCAGGAGGAGCAGCAGCAGGAGGGGCAGCAGCAACAGCAGGAGGAGGAGGGGCAGGGGCAGGGGCAGGGGCAGGGGCAGCGGCAGGGAAGTACCCTCGGTTCCCGTCGGAGGGCGGGCAGCAGTCGGCAATGGCAGCACTGGGTTCTCTCAGCGGTCTGCTGAGCCCCCGTGGAGCAGCAGGGCTGGTCCCCGCACACAGCCTCCCTGCCAAGTCTCGCCTTAATCAGCATGGATCGCTCTTATGGGGCATGCCTGGTTCCGCGTCCCTCTCTGCAGTCCCTGGTGGCGGGGGTGGGGGTGGGGGTGGGGAAGGAACGACGGGGGGATTTGGGGGGTTTGAGGGGGCGTTTGGGGGGAGCGTCAGGGATGGGGATGGGGGTGAGCGGGTGTCTACTGGTGGAGGAGCAGAGGATTTGTATTCCGAGTCTGGATCGACTGCAGGGGACGGCACAGCGGGAGGTGGAGGCGGAGGGGGAGGAGGAGGAGGGGGGCAGATGGGAGGGTTGAGTGAGGATGGTGTGGGAGGGGGTGAGCTGCGGACAGCAGCAGGGATAGTGCGGGAGAGGGAGGTGGTGCGCTCAGAGATTCTCGTAGTCGACTATTTCGACAGCGAATCCGATACCTCGGTAGCCAACTCCCCCTCTATCGCCAGCAGCCGCGCTTCCACTGCTTCTGGAGCAGCTTCTGGGGCTGCTGCTGCTGCTGCCGCAATCAGAAACGCTTTTGGCGGCCATGGCAATGGTTTTAGCGTCAGTGGCAGCACAGACAGTCCAGCGTCAGTCAATTCGAGCACATGGGGTGGTGGGAGTGGTGGCAGTGCTGGCAGCGCTAGGCATGGCATGGGCATGGGCATGGGTATGGTAATGAATGGCAAGGTGCACAGTCCTACCCTGCCTCTTAGTCCCTTAAGCCCTTTCAGTTCCTCTACCAACCCCTACAGCCCTCTCCGCCCTACCAGCCCTCACCACAGCCCAAATCCCATCAACCTCCCGCCTCCTGCTGTGTCTGTTGCCAGTGCTGTTGCTGCTGGTGGTGGTGCTGCTGCTGCCGCTGCTGATGGTAACGCTGTTACTGGGAGTAGTGCTGGTGGTGGTGCGAGTGCTCCTAGAGGGAAAAAGGGCCGTGGTCGAGCATTTTGGCGGGTATCCGGTGATCACTCAGGGGCCAGCATCTCTCCCTCTCGTATGGTCTTCAGTAAGAAACAGCAGCAGCTCAAGAAGCAACAGCAACAGCAGCAGCGGGAGCAGCAGGAGCAGCAGGGAACAGCATCATCACTGCTGTCATCATCAGCATCAGCATCGCCAGATACACACTCCACTGCATCAGCATCCCCCCTGTCGTCATCAGCATCCCCCCTGTCGTCATCAGCATCAACACCCGCTGCCAGCAGCAGCAGGCGTCTCTTCCCACTCTCTGCATCCGCCTCCTCTGCTGCCTCTGCTGCTCAGCACGCCATTCCTTTGGGCTCCAGCACTCGCTCGCTCTCCATGCCCTCTCACCCTCCGGGCACCCCCAGCACCCCATCCACCCCGCCAGACACAGCAGCCTCTTTCACTAGACATGCTGAACCCACTGCCAGCAGCAGCAGCAGCAGCAGCAGCAGCAGCAGCAGCAGCAACAGTGGTGGTGCTGGTGGTGGGGCTGGCAGCAACAATGGGGGTGCGGGCGGTAGTACCGGCGGTGGTGGTGTTGCTGCCGCTGGTGATGGTGGTACTGGTGGCAGTGCAAGCAGCAGCATGACTGTGAAGGGTGCACAGGCAGACCCCCCCTCCTCACCTTTGGTCCAGGGCAAGATGAACATGATGGGGTGTGGGCCTCCCTTGGGGGTGTTCCGATCACCCACTGTCACTTCCTCTGTCTCTGCTGTGCTACGCCATGCAAGCAAAAGCAGAGGGGGGTTAGACCACTACCCCCAGCAGCAGCAGGAAGGAGAGGTTGAGGGGGAGAGTGAGAATGTTGTGAGTGGCAGCATCAGCAGTTTGGGGGCCGTAGGCATGGGGGACTCGAGTGGAGTGAGAGAGGATGGGGAGGGTACAGGTCGAGGGGAATGTGATGGTGGAGCGTCAGCAGCTGCCAGTGGTACGGTGAACAGGGAGAAGGGAGTAGCAGGAGCAAGGGGGGCTGGGGGGGCAGGGGAAGCAGTGGAGAGACTAGGAGGAGGTGTAGATAATGAGGGAGGAGGAGGAGGAGGAGGAGGAGGAGGAGGAGGAGGAGGAGGAGGAGGAGGAGGAGGAGGAGGAGGAGGAGGAGGAGGAGGAGGAGGAGGAGGAGGAGGGGTAGGAGGAGGGGGAGGAGGGGGAGGAGGAGGGGGAGGAGGGGGAGGAGGAGGAGGGGGAGGAGGAGGGGGGGGAGGGGGGGGAGGGGGAGGAGGAGGGGGAGGAGGGGGGGGAGGAAAGGGAGGAGGCCATAAGCAGTCGCACTCGCGGTCAGGATCCCTCATGGAAGGGGTTCGCAACTGGGGAAGGTCCAAGGTGAGCATGCAAGGGATTTTTCTTCTTCCTTGCAATTCCCGTTTTGCTTTTCTCTCATTCTAGTCCTTGGTGTGCGCGCTCCTCCTAATGTTTGTGTTCTGACTGATCCCCTTCCCTCCAAACCAGGCTCATCTGTGCCTTGTTGGTGTCCTTATTTTGTCCATGCTTATACTTGAATGTACGGCCAATCTTTCTCCCTCCCACCCCTCTGGTGTGACTTGCCCATCCTGCAGTCCTCGAGCTCATCGCATCACTAACTCCTCTCGGCCATGCCATCTGCTGTTGCTGCCGCCACTCCGATCGCTGCTGTCACCACTGATAGCAGCAGCAGCAGCAGCAGCAGCAGCAGCAGCAGCAGCAGCAGCAGCAGCAGCAGCAGCAGCAGCAGCAGCAGCAGCAGCAGCAGCAGCTGAAGCAGCAGAGGGTGGCATATCAGTTGCAATGTAAAATGCACGCCAAGAAAAGTTGATGAGAATCAATGAGGGTCATCTGCCATGGCATTTGGGTGGTTCTCAAGGGAAGGTTCTGGCATCTACTGGTGTTTGCAGGGACTGGAGTCAGGAGGAGCTCTTTGTATAGCAAAAAACGCTCAGATGCGCGTACAATACTGATGCGCAGAAGCAGCTCCAGTATAGTTTTTATTTTTGTTGCCGTAATTAGCTCTGGAATAGGAACTTGTAATGCCTAGGTGGTTTTTAGTACCGTAGTTGGTATAAGTATAACATTTAATCATTTAATATGTAGCTTATTATCTGGTGACAGGTTGACACACATCGTCCCATCAGAAACGGCTCTATCGGTTGGTTGTTGAGACAGCACCTGAAATAATTTCCACTTCGCAGACGGGTCGATCGTTTGCACCGAGGAACTGTACATGGGGTGAAGGTACAGTTGTGCTATGCTGGAGAACGTGGGGCTTTGCGCCATTCGTTCTAGTCTCAATACTCGATATCAGAACATTTCGTGCAAGAACACATGTGCTGGCCGAAAGCATTGCTACTGGCGAAGACTTTTCTGGGTCACCGCCAAAACTAACGATCAAGCCCCATCACACCTGACACGAACCTTTTGCTGACGTGGGTGAGCTCGCTTTCTGCCAGCAAGGCCCAGCCAGGTCATCGAGCCAGCGCAGCGTCGACAATACTTACGCGGCGCGCGGAGCCGATGGTCGCGGACTGATAAAATGTTCGCCCCACCTCGTTGCATAATGATGGTGGCGGCGATCGGGCAGCAAAGATTGCAAGCGGGGCAGGATGGGACAGTGCCACTCTGAGTGCTGGTGTGTTTGATATGGTTTGATGTGGTTTAGTCGGGTGCTGTTATTTTAGCGAAGAATTTCGACTTGGTTGGGCTCGAGAAGTGAACCTTCATCAAGTGGAATGACACCGTAGTGCCCTACTCCACACGCGTGGGTATCTGGGAATTTGCAATTGCAAGCGGTGAGTGGACAATGGAAGGATGGACCCCCTTCTCCCCTCAATCCACGCAACCATCCATCCACCCAACCACCGTTTTCCCCTGTTCTGCAGTTCATTTCCCACCCATCCCAGACCATACCATGCCATACATGCAATGCGGCATATCATCCCCCATTTCGATTCCCTCCCCAATCACACCTCCTTGTTGCCCACCGCAATACAGTACACCTCGAAGCCTCCAATAGCTGAGCATTGCTTGCAGTGCACATCAACTCACCTCACCTTCCACCCCTCTTGCCTCGCCACGCCACCCCCCCAACACAACTCACCCAAACCAACCCGTCATCGGCCTCCTCCTTACCATCTGCACCACAAGCCGCACGCGAAGGATCGTCTCGTCTCGTTTCGCCTGAGCAGGCCAGACGGAAGAACCAGTTTCTCGCGCTCGCGTTGGTTGGTTGGTGGCAGGCAACGTTGCGCGCAGCGCGCAGGGGTGAGGGGGGATCAGCCCCAAGTCTCCGCCCTTCGCGCCCGACCGTGGGCAAACCTGGAACCACACTTTTTTTATCACCTCAAAATGCTATTCTTCCTCCACATTCATCCTCCCACACGCGCTGTGAAACAACCCCCCTGCATCAGTCATATTATCAATCTCGAATTGACCAGCTCCCACCCCACCAAGTCATCCGGTGTCTCACTCCAGTGCGTGTTTCCCGCAAGCCCTTAAAGGAGGATTCGCCTAGCGTCAACTATACCTCGCGAGTCACGCCAATACAACAGCCGCTCTGTCTTCATCACTCCACTTTAACCACCCAGCTCAAAAATACCTCCTGTCACACGTGATTTTTTTTTTCGACTCGGAGTCTTCTTGCCGCAAGTTCTTTGCGCCGTCGATTCGGGCTTTGCTCCGCGCGTTCACTTGGATCGTTCTGTTTCCATCCGTACGATGGCATCGGAGTCCGTCCATCGCGACACGGGGATGATCGAGCTGGACTTGCCTCTCCCCGACGTCATCACCGCGACGGATGCGGCGGGAACTTCGGCGATATCCACGCTTGCCGCAGGCCCAGGGAGCGTCAAACCCGTCTCCACCGCCGAAGCAGCAGCAGCAGCAGCCGGCATGTTTCTTGCCAATACTCCTGGCGTTGTCACTGCGTGCGGCGTGCATGTGTGCGCGTGTTCGGACTACAAGGAAGCCATTTACGACCTCGCGAATGCGAGCTGGAGGCAGCTCGGGGACGTGTGTGTCATGAACAATCCCTCCAACTCCATCCCTGCGCGCTCCCACGCTCTGCTCGAGAAGCGCACCGATGATTCCGAGGTTCTTCTTTCTGGTAAAACTGCTGCGCAGGTCAACCAGGAGCACCTGCCCCAGCAGCAGCAGCAGCAGGAGGAGGAGCAGGCGCAGGAGGAGTTTTCGTTTTTCCAGTTCCCCGTCGTGCCCCAGCGCACCATGTCCCTTCCGCTCGTGGATCGTCCCCGCCTCGGGGAAGTTTCGCCCCTGGGAAACGACGGCTGGGTTGTAACGGGCGTTGTGGGAGCTGCGCCCGACTGGCGCGACATGTCAGCTGCGGAGGAGGTGCGCTGCGCCGCGATGCGCGAGCAGGGTTACTGTCTGTTCGCCAGGGGCGGCGGCGTGTGCTCCCCTGGCGGCCTTGGCGGGTTTTCCGTACCCGTGCAGTGATTGGCGCCCGCCTCTGCCCCAGGCTGCTGCGACTGTGCTGAGACGAAGAAACAAACGGCTCTCTGCAGGGTTTTGTACATTGGATTCAGTGTCACACTCGGGAACATGGTGTGGGACCAGCTGCGCTCGGGTGTGTGATGATGCTCCAGCACTCTGAGGGCGAGGCAGAGAGGCGATGCAGAGAGTAAGGAGCAGGTTGACAACGGAGTCTGCAAGAGAAGCACCGAGGAAAATTTGACGACATCGGTTTGAGCGGTTTGTGAGAGTGGGGGTTCTGGATTGGAGGAGAGGAGGATTGGAGGAGAGGAGGGAAATATTTATCTGGCAGGGGAGCCGGCAGCTCTTTCCATGTTAACATTTTTGTACAGGCGCGAATTTCTCACCACTCTGTGCATGGCTATTTTGGCCGACTTTTGGTGGGGGGAGATAGCTGGTAGGGTTTTTAGCTTGTACATAGCTGTCATGTTTGTTTTGAGGGTGTCCTGCTTATGGTGGCTGTGCTATGTACATGTTTAGCCATAGTGAGCTTCTGTATTATAATTTACCGTTGATGGTTATTATTTTGATCCTGGTGTTTGCCGAAGTACTGGTGCACTCCAATCCTTACAGCTCTAGACATTACCTCAGGCAGACAAGGAGTACGCGTACTACTGGATGTATTACAGGGATGCTTCCTGTTTTTAACGGGAAAATATGCCATAAGTAGCCAACTTGGGACTCGATAACGTGAATGGAAAAAGAAAAGAAAAAAAAAAAAAAAAAAAAAAAAAAAAAAAACGCGTAGGGTCACTGTATCGGGTTTTCTGACGGGTTTGGTAAGTTAGGTCACGAATTCAGTCACTAACAGGTAAAAATCACGCGAATGGTCACACATGTAGCTCCCGCCAAAAAAACTTGAAAACTCAACCAAATTCCCGCTCGTGTCCAACCAATCTGCTAACTTCTAAAAAAACTACCGGTAAAACCCAATCGGAATCAGATGCGGTTTGGGAACGGATCAACCCTAAACACCTGGCGAGTTACGTGTTTAGGGTTGATTCATCCGAAAATGCATCCAGGTTCTTTTGGGGTTTCATTTTGTTTTGACGGGGGTTTCATCTATGACCATTCACGTTTTTTTTTTTCTACCACTTGATAGTCACTGATTACGTGAAACGTTTTATCAGTCGCGTGAAAACACCCTTTGCAGTGACTGTACCCTTTACTGTTTCACCTAAAATGTTATCGAGTCCCATGATGGTTACAAATAGCATATTTTCTCGTTGTTAACAGCTTTTCTCGTAGAACATCAATGGTTTACTGTATATATATGTCAAACATATGTATATATATGTTATAGTTTGGGTAGGCTTAGTGGGGTACTTACTGTGGGGTACAACCCCTTGGGTTTTCACTTTGTACCAACCCTCTCGATAGTCGAAACTACTTTTTCCCGTAAGATTCTAACATGGTATAGAGCATAGGTGCTTAGGACCTAGGATTAGGGCCCACCACGATTGCCTGTCTTGTCTAGTGCCTACGCGCGCCTCGGCTGCCCGCGCGCGCCTCGGGCGGTCCTTTTTTTTTCCCCACGTGCGCCGTCTCAGCAGCCCGCGTAGCCCGTTTCGGCCCCGCCTGTGCGCCCCTTAAGCCGCCCGCGCGACACCTGATTAGGCCACGCCAGCGCGGCCCGTCGCCCAGCGTAGCCCGTAGCTTAGCGACCAGCCCGCAGCCGCGCACGTGCGGCCCGTCGCCCAGCGCAGCCCGCAGCCGCACGTAGATTGCAGCCGCGCACGCTGCCTGTAGCCACGCACAGCCCGCAGCTGCAAGCAGCCCGCAGTCCGTCGCCGCACGTAGCCTGCGGCCGCGCGCGCTGCCCGTAGCCACGCGCAGCCTGCAGCCTCGTGCAGCAAGCCGCCACACGCAGCCAGCAGCCTCACGCAGCCCTCAGGCCGCTCCTGCCTGCTGCCTGCTGCCGCCTGCCTACTGCTTGCTGCCTGCTGCCTGCCTGCTGCTTGCTGCCTGCTGCCGCCTGCCTGCTTGCTGCCTGCAGCCTGCCTGCCTGCCTGCTTACTGCCTGCTGCCGCCTGCCTGCAGCCTCCCTGCTGCCTGCCTGCTGCCTGCCTGCTGCTTGCTGCCTACAGCCTGCCTGCCTGCCTGCTTGCTGCCTGCTGCCGCCTGCCTGTAGCCTGCCTGCTGCCTGCCTGCTGCCTGCCTGCTACTTGCTGCATGCTGCCTGCCTGCTACTTGCTGCCTGCTGCCGCCTGCCTGCCGCCTACCTGCAGCCTGCCTGCTGCCTGCCTGCTGCCTGCCTGCTGCTTGCTGCCTACAGCCTGCCTGCCTGCCTGCTTGCTGCCTGCTGCCGCCTGCCTGTAGCCTGCCTGCTGCCTGCCTGCTGCCTGCCTGCTACTTGCTGCCTGCTGCCTGCCTGCTACTTGCTGCCTGCTGCCGCCTGCCTGCCGCCTACCTGCAGCCTGCCTGCTGCCTGCCTGCTGCTGCCTGCTTGCTTGCTGCCTGCAGCCTGCCTGCCTGCCTGCTTGCTGCCTGCTGCCGCCTGCCTGCAGCCTGCCTGCTGCCTGCCTGCTGCCTGCCTGCTACTTGCTGCCTGCTGCCGCTTGCCTGCCGCCTACCTGCAGCCTGCCTGCTGCCTGCCTGCTGCCGCCTGCCTGCTTGCTGCCTGCAGCCTGCCTGCCTGCCTGCTTGCTGCCTGCTGCCGCCTGCCTGCAGCCTGCCTGCTGCCTGCCTGCTGCCTGCCTGCTACTTGCTGCCTGCTGCCGCCTGCCTGCTTGCTGCCTGCTGCCGCCTGCCTGCCGCCTGCCTGCCTGCCTGCTGCCGCATGCCTGCAGCTTGCCTGCTGCCTGCCTGCTGCTTGCTGCCCCTGCCTCCTGCCTCTGCCTCCTGCCTCCTACCTGGTGCCTGCTGCCTCTGCCTGCTGCCTCCTGCCTTAAGCCAATATGGCGACGCCTAACGTTCTAGCGTTCGAGCCTGACGGTCGTCCCATCGAGTTCACTGTATGGTTAGACGATCTCCAGCTGTTCCTTCTGACTGATGCCAAAGATGGCGTTTCCCTGTTTGATTACGTCTCTGGCACTGCCGTTGCTCCTGCTGCTGATGCTCCTGCTCTAGAACGCTCCCAGTGGCAGACTCGTGATGCTGCTGCACGCCTAGCTATTAGGAACCACCTGCCGATTACTGAGCGAGCGCATTTCAGCCAGCACAGAACTGCTAAGACACTGTACGACGCTGTTGTTGCGCGCTACTCCTCCCCGGCCACTGCAGCCATAGGTCGACTCATGCTACCGTACCTGTTCCCCGATCTTTCCTCGTTCACCACTGCTGAGGACCTAGTTTCTCACCTGCGCGCTACTGACTCTCGCTTTCGTGCCGCCCTTTCAGCCGAGTTCTGCGCCGCAAACCCCCCCCCCCCGATGTACTTCACTCTCTATTTCCTCGTCACCCGCCTCCCTGACACTCTTAGCTCTGTCAGGGACCACTTCCTAGCGCTAGACCCCACCACTCTCACTGTAGACGACTTCGAGAAGCACCTCCTCGCAGCAGAGAAGAACATCCTCGCGGTAGGTGCTGCTCGTGGCACTCCTCGCTCTCCCCTCTTTGAGGGGTGCTCCCCCTCCCCTCTCACCCCCTCCTACGCCTCCGCAGCTGCTGCTCACGACTACCTTGGTGCTGAGGGGGTTGGAGCTGCTTCCGCTCCCAGTGGGAAGCGTCGCAGCGGCAGGGGCAGCAGGGGTGGCAGGGGCGGTGGGGGTGGCGGTGGAGGTGGCGGTGGTGCAGGCGGCGGGGGAGGTGGAGGTGGTGGGGGTGGTCATGGGGGTGGAGGCGGTGGAGGTGGTGGTAGGGGCGGCGGAGGCACTGGGAGCGGTGGAGGGGGCAGCAGCGGCGGTGGGGGAGGAGGGAGCGGTAGTGGCATTGGTGGTCAGGGCCAGCAGCAGCCGCAGCAGCAGCAGCAGCAGCAGCACCAGCAGCAGCAGCAGCAGCAACATCAGCGCCAGACCCCCACTTCCCAGCAACTTCTTGACTGGTATGCCGGGCGTGGGGCTTCTGGGGGTCCTGGTCGCTGCCCCTATATCATCCGCACAGGTCCCCGCGCTGGTTGCCAGTGTACAGGTTTCCACACTGAGCAGCGCTGCTTCGCTCGACTTAGTGACGCCTGGCGCGCCAAGTTTCCTGATGCTCCTGAGTTCCCCAACTGGGCAGACTTACTTAGGCCTGATGTACCTATCTTTGATCTTGACTATGAGGCAATTCTTGCTGCTATGAATGCCTTGTCTGTTAGTGCTGAGGGTGACTGCTACTTGTGTGTGCCGCCGGATCCTGGTATAACCCCTGGTATAGCCCCTGCAGCACTAGGTGCTTGTGAGTCTGCTCCCCTTGGTACTGCGCCTGCACAGGCCTTGCACACCTTTACACTTGACTCTGGTGCTTCCCGCTGTTTCTTTCGCGACAGTACCACAGTCACTCTCCTCCCCGCACCTGTTCCTGTCTCACTGGCTGACCCCTCTGGGGGCCCAGTGCTTGCACGGTCTTCCACTGTGCTTCCATGTCCGGCGGTCCCGTCTGGTGAGCTGTCTGGTCTCCACCTCCCCTCGTTCTCTACGAACTTGGTGAGTAACGCTGTCCTCCAGGATGCGGGGGTTGACACCTTCACCCCTGGCCGGCAGCGTGTGGCAATTTGCACGTGCTCCCAGACTGGTCGCCACCTGGCCACGTTCGCTCGTGCGCCGGGGTCCAGTCTGTACACCCTCACCACTGCGTCACGCTCCGACCCTTTGTCTCCCCAGTTGCACGCGTCTGGTCAGGTAGCTACACAGTGTGAGTGTCGCCGGCTGTCGCACGACACTCTCCTGTAGCACCACCGCCTTGGTCACCCCTCCCTGCCTCGCCTACGCAGCATGCACTCCCGCCTCCTGGTTTCTGGGCTTCCCAGGTCTCTGGCTCCCCTCCCTCCCTCGCCTGCGCCGCCCTGCATTCCCTGCGTCGAGGGGCGGCAGCGCGCCGCTCCT